ATAAGTGGTCGTTTTAGCTGGGCAAAATCAAGTTTGCTGTTGTATGCTGAAGGTACAGTGTAGTTCAGTAGCAATGAGTAGCCACCAAAGGATTCCCTGAGTGGTTCCTTCCATGCTGGAAATAGGCCTTGTGTGCTGAGGGGGTTTGTGTCCTGACAGTTTGACATTACTGACCTTTAAGATTCAGATGTTGAATTTGAATAAATCCCTACATTTTCTGATCCTGCTCAGAGTAGCATCTATCCCGGATAGAAAGCAGAATAGCTTTTCTATTGAGACTGTCAGTTACAAGTACAGTACTTGGAAATACTTGGAACTTTAAGTACTACAGAAACAACATTTTTCTAGTATTTCAGCATTTTCTCTGTTGCTTTTGGCCATAGCTGAAGTATGGAGAGGCACAAACAAACCAAAAGTCTGAAAAAAGTGTTTATGCTTTTTTAGTCCTTCGTATATATAATCTCCTTATACAGAACATAAAAACTGAGGTTTAGCGCATTAGCTGGGTTTATTTAAGTTTTTGTCTTGGCCAGTGTTTTGGTTGTCCATAGTCTGTTCTGAACCTCTTTAACCCCAGTGCCTGCTTTTGTAGTCAAATGGCTTAGGTCTGTACAAGAGGGAGCACAGCTCCTATCCAAGTTGTTGGACATGATGTGTGTGAGATCTTGGCCGTGCTTGGGAGTCTCCTGCTGCCTGATGGCCCTCATCCTCCTCTGTCCCCATGACACTGGTGTCTGGGCTGCACTCCAGCATCACTGCCTCGCCTCCATCCAGATTGCTTTTCAAAAGTTCTGGTTGCAAAATTGTCCTGTGTTCAGTCTCTGGTAGTGCAGTCTGCTGCCCCCCTGAGATCTCGTTTACACCCTTTCCAGGCCTGAGCAGGAGCGCTTTGGGAGAAGGGCAGAAAGGCTTCACTCACCTTCTGTGGGCTTTGGTCAAGCCTTTGTTTGCCTCAAGGGCTGGTCAGTTGGTCCACTGGATGTCGGAGTTAGTTTGAATAACATTCTCTCTATGTTGTACTGCATCATCTTTCAGAATTTGCTTAATTTTTTTTTTTTTTTTTTTTTACTAATGAGGTGTGGGTTGTTTGTCCTGGAAATCCTGTAGTTAATAAAAATAAAAGAAGTTCACAAATGGGGTTTCATAGAATTAATGCAAAGCAAACCCCCATGACTGTGACTTTGCTGTCTTGAAGGGACTACATTTCAGCTAGTTTGAAAAAACACTGTCAAAATTACTCCTACCTTAAATAGATTCAGTAACTTTTTTATTTTGATTGGACATGTGCTTCTTTCTCCACCACAGGTATTATTTTCTTAAAGTCAATTATGGATCCAGTGTGTAATTTTAAAAATTGTGCAAGTTCCAAGGGTAAACCAGACTGTGCAGAGCCCTTGTCTCGGGGTGAGCACACACCTCGTTTGCAAGCACAGCCTGTGTGAACATTAAGCTTCATCAGTTGCCTCTTCAGCAGCCTGTTTAAAAATGATTCAGAGGAGTGGAAAAGCAAAGATATTATCAAGCTACATGTCCTAAAATGTATCCTGGGAGCTGTGTTCGGTGTAGAAGATCTGTTTGGCTATTTAAAATCATATTGAGACTTTCTAGTCCCTGAAGATCTTCTTTTAGGTTTGCAGAGTTGGTTACGCTGCAAACTGCCAATTTTTTATTTTTATTTTTTAATATGCAAGATGTAAGTAAGTCAGAATGAGCTAATTTAGCCAATGGAATTTTATAACAAATGTATGAATGCTGCGGGTTTCCCTCCCTCACCCCCTCCAGCAGAAACATAATTTGCAGAAATGAAAACAGTCTCTGGCTGGCTTTAGGGTTTTCTCAAAAATAGAAACAGTAGAGTTTGTCTGGCTGGGCCAGTTTCCTCACCACACACCTGGAGTATATCACTTTAAAAAATACATTATGCCTCATTAAATTACAATTAAATGAAATCATGATCATTTGTTTTTCTGGAAGGAAGATGTTTTGCATATTGAAAGCCTAATTTGTTGCAGGTGACAAAAAGGCTGAACAGATTATTTAATATCACTTTATTTTTTATAATGTTGCTCACTGGTTAGTTTGCATATACTTCAGTAGCTCAGAATTATATTATTGTAAACGTTATGGCTCTCAAGATACTTTATTTTATCGTCCTACCCTATCACTTAGCTATCTAGCTGCTTCTGTTTACTGGCGTTGTTTTTCTCCAGTTGCAGGAGGACATGAGATTTTTCCCCTGTGATTCAGTTTTCTTATTAGCTCTCCTGCTGTTTACATGGTTCCTAAGCTGCCAAAGCACTTAGAGGAGCTGCAGAAAAACCCTCTTTGCAAGCAGGTTTTCCTGCCTGGAGCAGGGCATAGCGAGCAGGGCATGGGGAACTGGAGCGAGCAGCGAGTCCCTGTCCCTGGAGCAGGTGCCTGCATTAGGACATGAGGCTCCCTCAGCCTGCTGGTTGAACAGCAGCACTGCAAAATGTTGCTACATCCTTGTAGCAGGTCAAGATGAGACCCTCATAGAAGCAAGAGGCACAGGCACCAAGTGAACTCCATGATAAGATGTTTCTGGTGATGAATCAGAGCCTTCAAGCATAAGAGTTGGTGTCTCAGGCAGTGAGATACCTCTTAGTGCCATGACCAAGCCTCTTGTACCTGTGAGCCTCTGATTTACATACAGAGTCAATGACTGCACAGAAAAGTAATTGCTGGCATGCTTTCACATATGTTTCTGCTCTCCATTTTTGAAATTGGACCATAAATTTAGCCAGGCTAAGATGGGAGGGAGAAAAAGCTGTCTTAGAGTCAGCTCCAGTAACTTTCAGGACCCTTTCTTTCAACCTGAACTCATGATTTTTTGAAGTTGATATTATCTTAAAAAAAAAAAAAGATATATATCCTTTAAAAGACACAGGGAATTAGGAATTTAGAGAATTGGTTGGACCGATGTTTCATTTATTTACTCCATTTGGAGAACTTTTCAATGCCTTTAAGGGAAAATTTTAATAGGGACTTGCTGTATCGATCTTGGAATCATGCAGGTCGTGGCTTCAATCTCCTGTATGTCCTTATTTTGCTTAATTTCCCTCAGCCTGTAAGCCTGTCAAATGCTAGAAAGGTTTTCAAAATGTCCTTAGCTTTTCTGAGGGCTGGTAAACCCTGAGGAAGAAGCCAAGTATGAACATGCAGTTGTGTTGAGGTCACACAGAATACCAGAGAGCAGCCCAGCACTGCAATTTCTTCAGACTTTTTCCCAGTGCAGACCTTTTTTAACAGCCAGCTTCTCTCTCCCATCCCATTTCTGAATGGAGCTCACCATGGTTCTGTTCCCAGCTCCAGTCCTTCTGGTGCCCACTCTGATAATTGCAGAAGAATGTAATTGGGAGTGTCTTAGCTTGATTATGTAGATTAGGAGCTGAAAAAATGGAGCTGTGTGCAGCCTATCTTCAAGTTGTGTATGGAGCTTGTTTTGAGCACTGCTGGTGTAAACGCTGCTGAGGTAGAGCTTTCATGTATGTATTTTAGTGTAGGTGTTTAATAGCAGAAAACAGATAAATGCAGATACAGATATATCATTTGCTGGTCAGATGGTTTTGTCAGGAAGCCTGGTAAATAAGATCAATATATACTAAACATGTTGGCATTTGTTTAATGGGCTAACTGCAGTGAAAGTGTTTTAATAAGGGTTTTTGGAGGAGACTCTCTGACATGGAAGAAAATAAACTAAGAAAATAAACTAATGTTACAGGGCTCTGAGTGCATGGTTGTTTTCTAGCAACATTTTTCTTACAAGAGAGGAGTAAGCCTTGACTTTACTTGCGAGGCAGCTTGCCTTGGTTGAGGCTGTAAAGTAACTGCAAAATGCTCATGTCAACAGCGACAGCGAAGTCGTGTCCGGGGTACTGCGGGGTCCCTGTGCACACGGCTGCTGAACGCTGCTCCTCTCCCAGCAGCAGGGCAGGGTGAGCCCTCCAAGCTCTCACTGGCATTTCACAGGGCTTCTGTGGCCGGCATTCCTGGGAGCTGTGGTGCAGACAGCCTTTGGGTTGTGACAGGAGGGAACCAGGAAGGGTGTGGGATTGCTCGGGAAACATATTGACAGAATAGCCTGACACGAGGGGGTGCCTGGGGGAAGCTGGTGGCACACACTCTGTCCCCCCCTACTTTCTGTAGGCCCTTTCTGATACTTTCTGATTCAGACTTGTGTGCCGTGCCTTTAATGTCTAGGTAATCTGTGGGACTGTTGAGTGCATACAGTTATGCATAAATTTAATCCTATCATTATATTTAAGCCTCATTTAATGATATTTTCATCTCTCCAACTCTTTTTTTTTTTCTCCTTATTTTTTGGAAATGTTGTGTAATGGCTTTTGTAAAAACTAGATTAATATGTTCATTCATGATTGCAGTGTGAAGCCTGTGGTATTTTAAAATGAGGAATGAAAGAATGGGTTAAATCCCTAAAGTTAGATTCTAAGGTTTTATTATTGCTCCATTTTTCTCCTTTCAGAAATGACTGTCCAAACAGAAATGAACGGACTGTAACATCAAAACCCAGCCGAACGTTTTTCTTTATAAACCTCCTGTACTGTTTAAATGTCGAAACTAAATTTACCAACCTTGGCAGATTTGTCAAAGATGAACAGGATTGCCAAGTGTTCCCAGCTTCAAGTAAAAAGAGAGATATCTAACAGCTCCTAAAATATTTGCAGCAAGCACCTGGTGATAACTGCAATTTCTTCTACCCAATGCACCTACCTTCTTATCCAGCATCTCCATACTCAGAAGCTTATTACAGTGCCAGAATAGGACAGTCCCAAAATAAACCTCAGCCCCCAGAAGACAAACATTTTCCTACAAAATATCCCCTCAGGGAGAGCCCATGAGATTCTGATGTAGGTTCTCAGTATTGCAACCCAGCTGGTTACACTAAACAAATTTTAAAAAAAACCAAAGAAACCCACCAACACATGACTGGCTTTTTTTTTTTTTTTTTTTTAAAACAGGGCTTGTTGTCAGAGATCCTGCGTAAAGAAGAAGACCCTAGGACAGCTTCCCAGTCCCTTCTGGTAAACTTGAGGGCAATGCAGAATTTCCTCAACTTACCTGACTCGGAGCGGGATCGTATCTATCAGGATGAGAGAGAGAGAAGTATGAACCCAAATGTGAGCATGGTGTCTTCAGCTGCCAGCAGCCCAAGCTCCTCCAGAACCCCCCAGGTAAGATGCAATCCCTTGTTACCTGTTTGTTGTGTGGATTACTCCAGGGAAGGAGTTTCTCTCCACCCTTCCCCTGTCTGTCATTCCCCTCGCCCAGATGAGTTGTGGAAAATTTTTGTAAGGTTTTGGAGTGGCTGTTAAGAGACATTTAGTGGATTGCAGCAAGAGACTGTGATAATCATTCAAACTTTAATCAATGCCATAAATGCAAAAGAGTATGTAACATTAATGCCTGAAAGAGTACATATGAGCATTACATACAGGCTCTTGATATATGTCCATTAAATGGCTATTATAGAATATATTATAGAAAAACAGTGTATGTAGCTTTTTACCCGTGTCTTTTACATTTTTCAGAATATATAGAAAATTTCTGGGCTTGTGGAGGGATTCATGTATGTTGCAATAAAAACTGTGTAGGGAACAGAGGTCGATAGTGGATTAGATAGAAATTGTTAGAAATCAGAGCGCTCCGTATTCTGCATAGGAAGTCACAGTCTTTGAGTTAGAGGTTTTCATGAGTAATTATTTGAAGTACAGAAAGTGGAGATGGGCAGGGTGCTGGCAAGGAAGATGATGCTTTAGAGCTCCAAAGCAGCTGTCATCTCATTGCACATGTTTATTAACGTGCTGTTGCCGCCCACTCTTCCCTGGGTAGGTTATTCCTTTGCACTAAGAAAGAGCATCCACATACAACGCTGTAATAGTCATCCCCCCTTGTACCAGGCTGCTTGTGGTCCCAGACATATACTCTGGAAAGTGAGAGTGGTTGCACAAGGGTGATGATTAATCCCTGTCATGACATTTTGCCTAACTTGAGTTTGAACTTTCTAACAGTGCAGACATGACGGGTCAGTTCTAGCACTTCTCTGTTCTTTAGTAAATGGGCCCGTATAACCCTTATAAATAGTATCACTGAGGGCTTGAATTCTGTAGCCACAGCTGCTAGAAGTAAGCAATGTGGAGAGAGCCAGGTTTCACATGCAAATTGATCATCCCTAAGAAAGATGTGTTGATTCTGTAGAAACTGTTGAACTTGTTCATTTTAACCCAGGCATTTGCGTGCACTTCACCACCATCAGTAGTACATCATCAGTACATGATGTAAAGAACTGTTCTCACTGAAAGCAAGTGTATCCTGCCAACCCAAATTTGACACTGAATTTTTATTACATGGGAAACTCATTGCATGCTCCTTATCTTTTTTAATTACCTTTAAGTGAAAATAAAAATATACAGGGAACTATTTTATTATTTAAATAATGTACCCATTTTCTGCATGTGTTTATTCAATTAAGAATTAGCTTACTTATATTTATCGCAATAGGTTTTGCAACTAGAATCAAGTACTGAAACAAAATTCAGCGTTTAGATGCAATCCAGTGAGAATAAAAAATTGGTTCTGTTGCCCCATCTCATCCTTGTGTTGAAATATGCCATTTTCTCATGCTGTAGGTACAGCTAGAATGTAATTTAAAATAATGGAAATCTTGCCTGCATTTGTAAGAGCTAAGTTTTGCAAGAAACCATACTCTAGATGTATAAAACAGCCCACCCTTGCCTTATTTCGGCTTGAAGAATCCCACAGAATATTGTGAGGTTTTTAATCAGCAGAAGCAACACACAAAGGTTTGCGTACCCAATGATCGCCTTGTGCCCGCTGGATAACATTTCCCCACCCCTCAGAGGGCCAGCACCCATCAGCACAGGTGCTGTTTTGACAATTTGGACACCTCTGCAAATGAGGCTGCTTCCCAGATCCCGGGCAGGCAGCACGGCTACTGTGCTTCCCCATATGCCCGATATTAGTTCTGTGGTACAAATGCCATCCTCGCCGGCAGCACAGCGATTCCCGGCAGCGTCACCTCCCCAGGAAGCTACCCTGGAGCAGTACCATCCTTTCAGGAACTGTGTTAGGGAGCTGGAGAAGGTGATGGAATGGCATTTGGAAACATGGTTTCCATAGATACTGATCTCCTGCAGCAGTGCTTTTGGGATTGAGTGTGCTGGGTAGGAGGAGAGCAATGGCAGATACCTGTGGAAGTGCTGGTACTGGGGAAGTCATGCAGAAGGTGTAAGGGCACACAGAGTAACCTGGCTCAGCTCTCCCTGACTCTGAGCCAGCCCCAGGCCACCCTCATGGGATGTCCCTGGCTCAGGACCTGCCTCAAGGTGAGAACAGCAGATTGATCCAGCAAATGGGTACGAGTGCCATGGGGAAGAGGCTCCAAGCTGTTAGGGGTTGTTGTGTCCATGTGGAACACCAGCACTGAGGGCTGAATTTCGGTGCTCTGGTGCTGTGGCTGCAAACACTTCTCTTTCTTTTTCCCCAGCTGTTTGCAACAAGATGTTTCAATAGTGACAAACTCCTTATTAATATCAAGGCCAATTTTGAATCTAGACCTCTAACATAAAATACTTTATTTTAGTGACTGTGATACTTTGGTTTGGTACTTGCCCTGCCTACTTCAGTGGTTAAATAAAAAACGGTGCAGCTTTCAGGGTGTGCAGGGAGATCGTGTTTTTCAGATGTGGAGCTAGAAGCTTAGGAGACCCATGCAAGATGGAGCTATATTTTAAATCTTTCTTTTACATGCTAATTTTGTTCTTCTCAGGATCTCAGACCTCTGTAATGGCCTTTGAGGCCGTGGTGACCTCGGCTGCTGCGCTAGCCAAAGGCTCCAGCGCCTGGGAAGGATTTTTTTATACCCAACAAAGCTCCATTAAATGAGTCCTGACAGACTTGGACAGTCCTCTTCCTTCCCATGATCCCTTTGTTGTTTTCTTATGTTTCCCACAATTGCCCTAACTCTCATGTATCTGTAAACATTGAATTTCAGAGTGTGGTGTCCCTGTCAGTCCATCCATTGGTCTGTATCCGGCATGTGCTTATGGCCTGTGGATGGCACTGAGTTTAGCTCTGGGCTCCCCGGGCACCGGTGGGCTGCCCCAGCTGCCCCTGCCCGAACACAGGGGGGTGGACTTAGCAGGAGCAGGAAGTTCTTACGCCCTTTCTACGTGTGCCCTGCCTACGACAGGCAGGGAACAAGCCCAGAGCAGTGCCTACTGAGCCTGGGGAGTAGGACAGGGAGAAGATACAGGTTCGTTAAAGCTTTATCTGGAAGCAGTAAGGAGGAATGATTAGTCTAGCTTGTTGCCTTGATTGAATTTTGGCTCTATTATTTATGTGGCCTTTGGTAAAAAAAGATGTTAGGGAGAGGAAGATTTGGAGGACAATAAAACAGAAAGAGAAGTTCAGAAGGTTTGGTTTTTCCTAGTTAACCTTCCCAGTATTTGGGCATGTCTGCTTAGTTAAAAATGAACATTGGATGTACTCTAGTAGGCTTCAACTGTGACAAAGAAACAGGAACCAGGTGAAAATGTTCATAATGGGCCCAAATATGAGTGTCACCAGGGTGTACGTGTGGGTTGGATCTAATGGGAAGTGTGAGCTTTGCCACATAGGTTGTGTTGTTTCTTAAGACCTTTACATCTCAGGAGAAAACAGAGATTTTACATCAGTAAATCACGTTTCCTTTAAAATGCGTAAGGGGTACAGTGATCAGCCCTGGTATCTCTCCTCTTTGAGCTCAGGAAAGCAAATGAGATCTGTCTCCATGGGGCTGCTGGTGCCAGGAGCTCTCAGTGAGCATCGCGCTGCCCTCGCTGCCTCACCTGCCAGTGCATTCTGGGGACCCCCACTGCCGAGGGGCTTTAAAATCAATGTCTTGTAGCAGTCTGCTGAACTGTGTTGATAGAAGCCTTGCAGGGGTAGTCCAGCCCAGGGAAAGTTCTGGCAGTGTCCGTTATTGTCCTTCATTTGTCACAGAAGCTGATGGGAAATCATTCAATTAAAAGGAGTGCAGCGGAATACGCAAAATCTCAATATGAGTTTAGGAGAATGAGGGCAGCACATCAAAGGCATGCCAAAGCCCAGCTTTATGAAATGATTTTTTTTTCATTTTCACTGATTTCCTAGGTGAAATTAGGTGACTGTCTGGCTAGCATAATGATGATAAGGCTGGGAAACCATACATACTCAAGTGACATACATATAGTTTTAATAAAGGATGAGGGAGACTTGAGGGAGTGCATTAAATTGAGTAATAATTTATTATTTAGAGACCTCTACCCATTTACTCATTTTTTCTGGGAGAATTGGCTCTTCCTCCAAGGTGTAGGCCACTTTTAGAGAGGGGGGAGAAGGTAGAGCCTGGCGGCTGGGCCGCAGTAGCTCACTGGCAAAGCCAACTTCAGCGACTGCCTGCAGCCGAGTGCCCTGGCTACCTATCCTGTTGTTGAGCTGCTCAATAAACACGCTGGGAGAGGGAGAGGGGGAGAGTTGACAGGGCCTTGCATTTCCTATAGGAATGCACTGCAATTATTTCCAATCACAATTAACCTGATTAGAATAATGGACAGGAAGTGTCCCTCTGTAGCTAATGCAGTTTGGCATCAGCTGACTGAAATCCTTTGATAATTTCTGCACAGATGGCTGGGCTGAAAGCAGCACTTTTTTAATTATTATTTTCATGGTCTCTTGGTAGGCCAAAACCTCGACACCAACAACAGACCTCCCCATTAAGGCGGACAGTGCCAACGTCAACATCACAGCTGCCATTTATGACGAGATCCAACAGGAGATGAAAAGGGCCAAGGTATCTCAAGCTCTGTTTGCCAAAGTGGCTGCCAATAAAAGTCAGGTGAGTGGTATAGAGGATTTCATTGTCGCGGGGCTTTTTGGGGTTTTGTTTTTAAAGCAAACTCTGGGGTTGGGACTAGGCCCACCTCCTCCTCCCACCAATAAAATTACATCTGTTCCTACAATAATAATAATCTTCATCTCTGGGGAACCTGTCGTGTTTGGCTTTTGCCTGCTTAAGTGGTTTCCTTTTCCCTTTTAAAAGAGGCTGAGGGAAGGGTCAGCTCACAACTGAGCTTTTTCTCCCTTTTGGTACAAACATGTATGTCTTTTCCCATGTGTGGTATATAACTTACACCTCTGCTAGTAGGACAAGGAACTTTTAAAATGCTGGTATCCTACTCATTTGGTGGGTAATGAAATTGTTTTCTCAAGTTATTAACTGAGGGAAGGCAATGGGAAATGGCATATTAGGCAGGTGTTTCCTTTTTTGCATGTTGTATGTGCTGCATACAGTATTGCCATGTGAATAATTCACATCAGATCCAATCATTTTTACGAAAAGGCATGAGGAGACACTGCAGTAAGTTCTCCTGGATTAATTTCTACCTTGGGTGTAAAAAATACATGCGGGCAAACCTAGGTCTGGGTGAAATTCTTGAAGAGAATCCATTAATTTAAAAATTTCATCCAACTCTTTAAAAAAATATAATGTACCAGAAGGGATTTTATGGAAAGGCGGGCAGACAGATTTTTTTGAAGGGCAGCAAGTGGATTGGAGATTGTTGGAAGGAATTGTTTACTCAGTGAAAAGAGCTGCTTCTGATCCTGGATGAAATTACTCAGTTGAGGAGAGGGCATCAATATGCACACAGAAATGCACAAATGTGTATATGACAATGAGAGAGTGGGATAGAAGTATCTAGGTGCATGCACTCTGAAAGATACATTCTTTTCCTCTGTGCAGGAAAACAACATTGTAAGTCATTAAAGTAGATATAAAATAAGTGGTTGAAGGGCTTATAAACAAAGCATCAAGGGCTATCAAAGCACGTGGTGGAGCTTTGTCCTTGTTACAGGTATTTGTGCCCTGACACATGGAGATCTGATTAATTTTTCTTTCCTCATTTAATCATTAATTTTCTTTGCCTTTTGCTTTCTCTTGTCAGGGTACAGGGGTTACAATCCCTGTACCCTCCAACCAAATCCTGGGCTCAGTATGAAATACATAAAAGGAAAATACCATGGAACCCTCTTAAACTGTTAAATGCATAAAAATCTCATGTACCACATGGCAAAATATAATGAGAACTGGAGCTGTTAAACGAATAAAGCTGTTAAAAGCATAATGCCACTTGGCACAACTACTGTGCATTTAACGGTTTTCCACTGTGTAATAAATGACATATGTGGTAAACGTGCAGTAAATATAAAAACTGCACAATTGATTTTGCAAACGTGCCCCTTATTCTTTACTCCATGCAGATATCAAAGTTCCACCCAGAATCCGGACTGGACAGCTTTTAATAAGGAGTGTTTAACACAGACCGAATCCCAGCCTCTCTGAGGTTTGGCTTAAAATTGCCTGCAAGCTTCCTGTCATTATACCCAGAGGCTTCTTGAAATAGAGAGGGACTGAACCACCCAACAATAATTTGGGTGGCTCACCAGCTTTGGTCTGTGCCAGCTTGAGTGCACTTCTCTGGCAGCATTGCACACCAGCGCCAAAACAAAAATAAGATCCGTAGTCTTTCACATGGAAAAAGAACAGGGCAGATTTTGAACACCAGATGCAAAAGGTTAAGAACAGGATCCACAAATGTTATTGTTTAAAGCAAAGTTACTGCACATAAAGGTTTTGTTTCTTCAGCAGCAGCAAATAAAGAAGTGTTTTTGGGGCTGATGTTTCTTTTGTTTCACAGCCCTGCCAAAGCAATACTGGCTCCCTGGGATGACCCAGCATTTGCCATGCTGAGATGTCATAGCACTCTGCTGGAGCATGAAAGTGGTTTATGGGGGCACTGGAAGGCAGGGAAGGGAAGCCATAGCCAAGAACCATGGTGGTGTGGGGCCTCCCCCTGCCCCAAAGCCCACCTATGTGTCTTCTCTGGGTGGCTTGGTGTCCCTGCTGCAGAATAGGGTGCTCTGTGGCCCACAGAAATGCCAAAAGCAAGGACTCATCTGCTTGTGTAGGGCAGAGCCATGGTGTCATGGTCAGCATGTCTCTTTAGGTCTAGCTTGTCTGAAAAATAGCAGTTGGTTGTTCCCAGTGTTTGCACAGTCCAGTTGTGCCAGTCATGACTACTGCTGGTGAAGATGCTGCTGATTTCAGCAGCTGCGTTACATGGTGGGAAGCACTCATTGAAAACTGCCCATGTTTGCAGAAGAGAAAGTTTGAAAGAGAGGGAAAAAAAGAGCGAGTCTGAGGCTTTGCTTGGACTCTCCGCCAAGGTTCGTTCACTTGCTATTCTCCACAGGCCTGGCTTGTGTTGCATTGGCTTCCTCTATTATTCCCTCACCCCAGACTACTGAGAGGCTTCCAGTTTGCTAACAAGGCATGTGTTATGTTGGGCGCTGCTGTTCTGTCAACAACAATCCACGGTGCTGTGAGATCTTCACAGTTTTAGCAGGCAGTGAGGCTCCAGCAGGGCTGTTTTGACATTTTATATACAGGGCTGTATGTCATGTACCCCAGAGAACATCCAGAGGCAATGGAGGCCTCATTTCGTCTTCTGTCTCCATACAGGAAGAGTGGTACCCACTGAGAGCAGTTATTGCAAGTGGCATCATCTACTGGTGGAGTTAATTGACCTCTAATTTAACAAGCAACCATCTTCATTCTTAAGTCATGGTGGAGTCTCAGTCTAGCAACTAAAGAGAAGGGCAGCTTCTACAAACCGAGGTTGCAAATCACAGAGCTCGCAAGTCAACATGTCAGGGCCTCATGGAGGTACCAAGGTAGTACAGGGAGAATTCTTTAAGGGAATCCACCTTCATAAAGATTTCAAGCCATTTATTTTAGACGTTGACTTATTCAATCATCACATATTTACCTTAATATGCATTTTATTCCTTACAACTTACATGTAGACATTTTTAGCCTTGTTTGTGAAGTGATGTGCATCCCTTTGTATTCTTGAAACCAGCAGGAGCTGAGAGCTCAGTGCCACAGGACAACCTCCAAAGCTGTCCTGCTATTATAGTTGCCAGCTGTTAGGAGGTACTCGCTGGACAGCATGCTTCTCTGGGGTTGCTGCCTACTTGTGCCCTTTGTCCTTTTAGTGGCTAAACCTGGAACCTGTATCAGCACATTGGGAGTGTTTCTGAGTGTGGCCGGAACAACAGGATTTGGTTTCCAGTCTACACTTTGGGCTCTCCTGGTTATATTTAATTCACAAGAAGATGGGTTTTTGGTGTGCCATTTCAGAGAGGTTTGGGTGGCCTGTGTGTCTGCAGAGCTGTTCAGTGGGACAGTCAGAGACTTGAATTGCTGCACATTTGGACTGTTGGTTGTCAAAGCTGGCTTCTGCATTCGGCTCTGCAACTGCTCGATAGCACAACCTCAGGAAAACCATTTCCCCCATGACCATGTGCCAGCCCTTCTGTAATACTGTGCAGCAGCATCACCCCTTTGACTTCTGCTAGTGAGAGGCTACATCAGAGACTGTGTTTTGCTCAGCAGACCTTTGTTTCTTAGTATGTGCAAAATGAGTTTAGGAATGTAGTTCTGTTCGTAATAAACAGTCACTATCAAAATAAATAGTGGGCACAGCTGGCTGGAGTGCTTGTTGACAGTCTGAGTGAGGGAAGAGCTGGTATGAACGTGGAGACCAAACTCCCCACAGTTCTACCACGGCAAGAGACTCTTCTTAATCAGGCTGGGGCATCATGGGGAAGTGGGGTGCATGCTGCTGGGTATCTACCCTGGGCAGGGCAAATGGAACCTTCACCAGTCCGGTGAAACAAAAACTATAGCCTTGAAACTGAAATTTTTCGCAAGGGACTGGAATTTGTTCTAGTTATACCCCAGTAAAGCAAGAGAGACCCTATGGAGCAACATTTGAAAAAACATTAAGCTGGCAAAGCTCAGTCTCTGGTTTGTATCTTTGCCCTGTTTAAATGTGGGCAAACACAGAATAAACTTGACTGAGGGTTGGAAGCTGGGAGTAGAAAAGCCCTTCATTTGAGGCCCTTCAGGTAAAGAGAAACCTAGGCCTATGGATGGAAACCGCTGTGACAGTTCCTCGCCTTTTCATGCTGAGATCCCTGCCTCATTGCCAGGATTACCTGGGAGCCACTTCTCTGGCCTAGGAGGGTGTTAGCCCACAGTAGGGCCCCATGCTAGATGGGACTCAGCACCATAGCCACCTTCCCATGCCCTTACCTCCCACCAGTCCTACAAGAAGAAAGTGCAGGTACTGTGAGAGGAATGAGCAGCGTCACTTGGAAGAAGTGTTAACTCTAGAAACCCTTCATTTCATCCTTCCCTCTCCTTCCTTCCCAACTTAGATTCCCTTGTATTCATTTGATGTGATGGGATGCCTTCTCTCCTTTTTCTAGGTTATAATGGGTATTTTCTGTGCCCTTAAACTAATTAGCTTCTAGTGATGATGAATAGCAGCTAGAAAAAGCAGCTGGTGATGAAGATGTGTAGTGTACCTAGTGTGTGTGTATAGGGCACTTCTTACTGCTGTAGCATCTCACTGCCTTTATGATGCTGTGAATCTCTACAGCTGGGACATATCTGTTGTGCTGATATTTTGATGTTCTTGTTACATATTGAGGAAATACAGAAAGACATTCCTCTCCTTGACTGAACTTGGAATTTCTTTGAAGTACCTTTAGACTTGAGCTTCTCCTGTACAGACTTCTATATGAAGTCACAGTGTGACTCTCATCCATGACAAGCTTGAGAATTGGGCTCCTGTGAACCTCATGAGGTTCAACAAGGCCAAGTGAAGGGTCTAGTATCTGAGTCAGGGCCACCCCCACTGTCAGCTCAGGCTGTGGGATGAAGGGATTGAGAGCAACCATGCTAAGAAGGACTTGGGGGTGCTGGTG